ACTGTTGGTCACCAACAACAACTTTTGGAGAGAGTTGGTAGACCTCCAAGTATTCAGTCATCTGAGCCATAATGGACTCGCTCGACTGTTTGTCAACTGCTCACGCGGTTACTAGGTTTGTTGCACCATCATAGAAGATGATGAACATGAGTTTTTCCAAACCGCTTGGCATGGTTATTTCTCCATGATCCACAACACAAGCGTGAGATCTCCAAAGGTATCAGATCTTAATCTGCTAGCGCGGGCTCGCGAAGGTGCTGGGACAGGCGTCGCACTCTTTCACAAGTTCGACATGGGCTTCATAAATATCCTTCGGTATCTGCAGAGCTGATGTCCTCTTCTTGAACTGCTTCGGATGGAGCTTGTAAAGCTCTGCAGGGGCTCTTAGTTTGTCATGGATGCGTCTTAAAGCGACTGGAAGTTTAACAGTCTTTTCTTCGTTTGGTTCTGCTTCCTTTGCCGGTAGTTCGGCAACCGCTCCACCAGGAACCTCTTCAGGCAGCTCATCACGAGCTTTCTCTCCAATCACTTGGGAGTGGCTGTTCCGGCTCAACAGGCGGCTTCTCCGGTAGTCCATATGGTGCTTCAGCCTGTTCCTTTGACCCAAGTGGCTCCGGGCGTGAGCCACTTACTGATTCCTTGAGAACAGCATCGCCTGAAACGGGTTTCCTGCAAGAAGACTTAGTGCGTCCGTCAGTAGCCTTCAGGAGAGCCTTTTGAGACTTGGCAACATCGCTCCAGTTCTTTCTTCTTATTTCCTCTGGAGTTTTTCCTGGTATATAAAGCTTTCAACGCCTGTCCCAACGGCTCGGCGCTAGCGCGGCTACTCCAGTTAGTACTGGTCTCCACAGACCGAGCTCCGCTACCAGAAATTGTAGCAAGGCCCCGGGATATCTCAGTGGAGATGCACTCTAGGAGGAGGTATGCCAACACAGTTGTTTTTCTGCTCTCCGTGAACCTTGACCCGTCACCGTCTACAAACCCAGCAGAACTCCTCAACAAGATGCGCTGATGCTTGGTGCAACGGCAAGTCTCAGAGGGCACACTACTAGAAGGGACAGCTCATCAGGCGCCAGCTGGCTTCCTGCCGTTCCGCTGGCTGCGCTGAGCTCGCAGAGCGTGAAATGGTCATGTGTTACTGCAAAAGACTCACATCTCAACGGAGTCGCGGGAGGAAGACTTAGCCATGCCAGTCAACCTCCCCACCTCCACTACAGGGGGTCTTCCCCACTGCAGCACCACGCCGGAGTCGT